ACACTAGTAGATGTTTTCTCTTATATTACATACATATTTTTCAATTATTATTTATTAAAAAATAAAATAATATAACTTTTTATATTTTAACTTAATTATTTTCCTCTTAAGCATTACTTCGTTATCGCAGAAGAGAAGTCGTTCATGTAATACAACATCTTAAGTATAATGTAATATCATAGGTAATATATTCTTCAACTTACTTTTATCACAGCAAGGCTAGAACTGTATTTGTTCTCGAAGACTTGTGAATCTATTTTGAAAACTTAGCTCACCGGATAATTTACAAGAATAAAAAAGAAACTTTTTTATTAATGGAAAAGTTTTTAGATGTTATTAATTAATTTCAAATATACAATATTATAATCTTTCCTTTCAATTTTATTAAGTACCATTAGACTAATAATTCCATAAAGCAAAATTTTCTAAGAGAGTCTGCAGAAGAGATTGATAATTCTTTGAGAAATGCTAAAGAAGGAGAAATAGTGTTAGTAAAAGTATCTTAAATTGATTATCAAAAATATTGAAAGATATTGGATGGAAGATATATCTTGTTTCATATCAACATAAAAGTATATAAAATCTATATACATTTGATATGTATATATATAGCTCTATATGTATCTATATATGTAAAAATTTATACGTCATCATTTAAAACTATTGGTTTAATTAAATGTATTATTTCGTAAGAGGTTCATACGAACCTCAACACTATCTCTTGACATTAATATATATTTATTTATTGTTATACTTCTATATTACTGTACTTATATTTTATATTTAGATATAATATGTATACAATAGAAAGTGAAAAATCTTAGAGTTAGAGAAGGATGTCACAGTTTCTATATTCTTATACTGACATGATGTCAGCAAAAATTCAGGATATGTGAATTTTGTATCCCTATATCTAATAAATAGAATCCTTTATCTAAATATAAGTAGGGGAGCGAGCATGTATCGCTATCTCTATCTCGCTGAGATAAAACCGCAGTTATGTAAACGAGTTATATGAATGACTTAAATTCTATATTTATTTGCAGTATACTGAAGGACTTAAGAGACCATAGTACTAATTGTTTCGGTTTTTAATAAAATAAAATTTTTATAAAGAAAGGCTTAAATTTAAATAAGTTAGTTCTTTTCTAAATTTATTCAAAATAAAGTGAAACAAATAAGATGTAATTTCAATCTAATTATTATTATATTTAAATATATAATAAATTTTATAATTCTGTTTTTAATTAATTGTTATTACGATCAATTCGCAAAAAGTTATTTGGTTATTACCGTGTTTAGGTCGCTTCACAGGAAATTATAAAAGTCAGTGGATTTATTTTATACTGAAGATGATCTATGAACTACAGACCAAAATATGTGTAATGTATATATTTTTTAAAAAAATTAAATATTTAACACAAATTAATAAGTACAATTTTTTAAAGAATTTTTTATAAAATTATGTGTTAAATAAACGACCTATTACCGGGTTTAATAAATAAAAAACTTATAATTATAAATTACTGTTTAAATCTAATGTATGTAATATATATATATCCATAACTACATATTTAGGCCATAATATGAGAAACAATAAAAACGATTTGCTGCATTGCTGCATGTCCTGGCTCAGAAACATAAAACACTGGACGGGAATGATAACATTGGAACGTTGTTAAGGACATCAAAAGAACATTCCATGCAATTGTAACAAATTTAAGTTCAATGTAATGTAAAATCAAAATATTTATTAAATTACATGATCGCCTACATATGAAATTCAATTGGCAAGTAAAGAAGAAAAGCTTAAATCTTTTAAATATTCACATAAAATTAAAAATTAATATAAATTTGAGTAATAAGTTACATAAAATTTACTAAAAATTTGTATAAAATTTACAAAAAATTTATATAAAATTTACAAAAAAATGTATATTAAATTTATAAAAAATTTGTGTAGAATTTATATTAAATTATTATTATTTTTGCTCCAGTGATATTTCATTCATAACCTAGTTAAATGAATAATATGTAAATTTTATTAAATATGAACTAAAATTAACTTGCTTCATTGAGCCTGATATATTAAATCTATTATTTAAATCTTTTAAATCTATTATAAATCTATTTATTTAAAGCAACCTTAATAGAAATCTTAAAAAAATGGCATTTTTAAAAATTTCCCTTCCATTTATTATAAAATGACATCAAATTTACTATAATTTTACACTAAATTTATTATAAATTTTATAATAAAATTTATATAAAATTTATACAGTATTTAATAAAATTTAATACAGCTTAATATAGCTTTAATTTAGCTTAAATAATATAAAATTTACTAAAAGTTATATAAAATTTACTGAAAGTTATATAAATTTTACTAAAAATTTGGCTATAAGTTTATATAAAGTTTTAGTAAAAAATTTACTAAAAATATATATAAAATTAACTAAAAATTTATATAAAATTTAGAAGAAATTAATATAAAATTTACTAAAAATTATATAATATACTATATATAATATAATATGTTTATTATATAATATAATAAATATACTAAAATTAGTTAATTAAAAAATTTATAAAATACACTAAAAATTATATAAACGTTACTAAACATGTATGTAAAATTTACTAATAATTTATATAAAATTAACTAAAAATTTATATAAAATTTACATGAAGTTTATATAAAATTTACTAAAAATATATATAAAATTATCCAAAAATTTATATAAAATTTAGAATAAATTAATATAACAATTACTAAAAATTATATAAACGTTACTAAACATGTATGTAAAATTTACTAAAAATTTATATAAAATTTACTAAAAGTTTATATAAAATTTACTAAAAATATATATAAAATTAACCAAAAATTTATATAAAATTTAGAAGAAATTAATATAAAAATTATATAAACGTTACTAAACATGTATGTAAAATTTACTAAAAATTTATATAAAATTAACTAAAAGTTTATATAAAATTTACTTAAAGTTTATATAAAATTTACTAAAAATATATATAAAATTAACCAAAAATTTATATAAAATTTGCTAAAAATTTATATAAAATTTACTAAAAGTTTATATAAAATTTACTTAAAGTTTATATAAAATTTACTAAAAATATGTATAAAATTAACTAAAAATTTATATAAAATTTAGAAGAAATTAATATAAAATTTACTTAAAGTTTATATAAAATTTACTAAAAATATATATAAAATTAACCAAAAATTTATATAAAATTTAGAAGAAATTAATATAAAAATTACTAAAAATTATATAAACGTTACTAAACATGTATATAAAATTTGCTAAAAATTTATATAAAATTTACTAAAAGTTTATATAAAATTTACTTAAAGTTTATATAAAATTTACTAAAAATATGTATAAAATTAACTAAAAATTTATATAAAATTTAGAAGAAATTAATATAAAATTTACTTAAAGTTTATATAAACGTTACTAAAAATATATATAAAATTTAGCTAAAAATTTATATAAAATTTATATAAAATTTATTAAATTATATAAAATTACTAAAATTATATAAACGTTACTAAACATGTATATAAAATTTCTAAAAATTTATATAAAATTTACTAAAAGTTTATATAAAATTTACTTAAAGTTTATATAAAATTTACTAAAAATATGTATAAAATTAACTAAAAATTTATATAAAATTTAGAAGAAATTAATATAAAATTTACTTAAAGTTTATATAAAATTTACTAAAAATATATATAAAATTAACCAAAAATTTATATAAAATTTAGAAGAAATTAATATAAAAATTACTAAAAATTATATAAACGTTACTAAACATGTATATAAAATTTGCTAAAAATTTATATAAAATTTACTAAAAGTTTATATAAAATTTACTAAAAGTTTATATAAAATTTACTAAAAATATATATAAAATTAACTAAAAATTTATATAAAATTTAGAAGAAATTAATATAAAAATTACTAAAAATTATATAAACGTTACTAAACATGTATATAAAATTTGCTAAAAATTTATATAAAATTTATGTTGAATTTATTCCAAGTTTATATCAATTTTATTATAAATGCACAATTGATTTTTGTTTTTGTTTTAATAATATTTTATTTACAGTCTACACATTTACTGAGTATTGTAATCTATAATTGATTAAATAAATTGATGATCTGAAAATACCGAATTTTTATAAATTTACAGCAAATTTATTCTTCATGATTTATAGTAAATAACATTGAATTTACTATAAAATCACAACAAATATAATATAAACTTACACGGAATATGTATAAATTTAAATCGCATTTACTAAAAATGTACATCATATTTATAATAAATTTAATTGTGAAATTTATTTAATAATCAACTATAAAGCATCCAAAAATTTGATTGTCGTCTTAAATCAGTTTCTAGTTATTTTAGTTTTTCGGATTTGGTTTTAAAGATTAAAGGATTTTGTTTAAAGCATTTGTTTTATGCTGACGTTATTTATGTTTATTATACATTTTAATATAAATAAACATTTTTATATTGTTTTTTGCGTTATTTTATTATTTTTTTTAATCTTAATTAAATAAGAAATTGTGTTATCAAATTTCCTGTGGGGATTTGCTGTGTTATTTGCTTAAAGGCGCATGAGCCCAAAACCAGTTTAAACTTTTAATGTGAAACTCCTCCTTATATTCACATTGGCTGAAGAAAGAAGAGAAAGACTAACAGCTTGCCGTGCGCGCCAAACAAAGACAACAGAAATACCCGTTGCCTCTTGCAGAGAATAACAGCTGAGCAGAGTGCACAAGTCTCAGCTGAAAACAAATCGAGTTTAAAATTCATATACAACAAATCGTTGAGAGATTGCTGGTTCAGTCAGTATTTAGATCTCGTAGCCTGTAGAACAGTGCAAGGTCGGTTTAAAAAGAGTTTTAAAAAAGTATTTAAGAAAAAATAAAAAACTGAATTATTAAAAAACTGTAAAACAAAAACAAAACAAACTTCACTATGCCACGTCCGTTGAAAGAAAGTTATGGTGATCAGAAACCACCATTCTCATATATATCTTTGACAGCAATGGCTATTTGGAGTTCACCACAGAAAATGCTACCACTCAGTGAAATCTATCGCTACATAATGGAAAAATTCCCGTATTACCGTAAAAATACACAAAAGTGGCAGAATTCATTGAGACACAACCTGAGCTTCAACGATTGCTTCATAAAAATACCACGCAACACCAACAAATTGGGCAAAGGTTCATACTGGACGCTGCACCCAAAAGCCTTCGGCATGTTCGAGAATGGCAGTTTGCTTCGCCGTCGGAAACGGTTTCGGGTAAAGAAATTGGAAAAAGACATTTTAAATGGTGAAATTGCAGCGCTAGCCAGTTTCAACAGATACTTTATGGCACAGCAACAAAATGAAATACATCATAGCAGTTGGGATTTGGCACCTAATAATGTCTATTCTACAATGAGCCCACATATGTGTGTACTACCTGTCAGCCCGTCGCCAGAATATGCACAAAGCTCCAGCCCTTCTTCGCACTCATCAGAAGCTTCAATCGAAGTTGAAAAGTTAGTCCCCAGCACACACCTAAGCAGTACTACATTTAATTCAAGTTCGAGGCCAAAGCGCTCATTCACAATCGAAAGCTTAATCGGTCCTGATCATGCAGAAGTGACTGAAGTAAGCAAACCGAGTATCAGTGAGTTAAGAAGACCCGATATTGCAATGAATCTGCATAATGCATCCACATTTGGTATACATAATTTTTCAACCGTCAACCTACAACACATTTTACCTACCCAATACTCCTTGCAACAACAACAACACCAACTCGCATACGTCCAACATCACCACCAACAGCATATGGCGGCCCACTATCAGATGCAAAGCGCTTCAGCGGCCACAGCAGCAATTTTAAGCGAGCAACAAAAACACCAGCAACACCAACAACTGCAGCAACATCAACAGCATTTCATCAACACCTACTTGGGACCACTGCCAGTTTTCTAATCCACGCAAAGTGTGTGCCGATCCCGTAGACGTGAAAGCTTATGTTCGTGAAAATTGTGATATTTTTGTTTGGAAGTCGCGATGGACTTCGCTTGTTTAACCCTTGAGTTACAAAAAACAAAAAAAGATGATTAAGTTCATTATCTAATGTATATAATGTATAAACTATATAATATGCCTATCTGGTGTGTACTGTATATATGTGTACTATAATATTTATTTAGTTGCCAACTGATTTGTTCCTGTAAATGTTTTGTGTTTTAACAAAAAAGCTTCTCCCCAAAACTCCAATGTTTCCTTTCCAAAAACAGTGTTCATAGAAAACATCGAGGAAGACTACTCTGTAAACAATGACCCAATAATGCCTGCGGTATTGTTAACTATATTTTCTGTATTATATGTTAGGGACCGACGTTATTTATTAAGTATTGTGTTAATTAATATATAAAGCCAAATATAATTTAAATAAATATGTTAATAAAAAAATAAACAAAATGAAAACATATATTCGGTGTTTTGTAAATAATAATTTTGTTGAATTAATGGATCATTTCGGTTAAGCGATGCTCAAATAAAACGAAGAAGGTAATAAAATTCGATTATGAGGATTGTCTGAATTCCGTACTTTGGCATTCATTAATTTTATGACGAAAACTCGCTTTTAATGGAGGAGATTTTTGTATTCACGTTTGCTATTCAAAATAAAAATTAATAATATATAGCCAAGCATATTAAAATACATATACAAATGGAACATGTCTCTGGGTTATTCAAAATGGATTAGTAGCCTTATAATAAAAATAAACATGTTTATATATTTTGAAAATAAAAATTAACCATATATAGCAAGATATATTGAAATATATATAAAAGTCGTTATTCTTTAAGTCATTAAAATGGTTTTAGTACTCTCACAATAACAATAGACGTACTCATTTAGTAACCTATTAAGGCATATAGGCTAGTATTGAATTATTGCAAAGTTTTTACCGTAAAAAAAAGTAATTTTTTTAGAGCAAATATAAATCCAGAAATAGGAAAACGAAAAGGTTTAAAAAAAATCGTAGATATTCCATTGTACAACTATTCTTAAATAATATATTTTAGAAAATATATATGGTCTTAAGTTTCCAATTTAGATATATGTAGTACTCTTTGAAGCAAATAATAATTTTAAAATAACAAGAATAATATTATATTCAATTTTTCACAACGTCGTAGTGCATATACGACGGACAATAGTAGATAAGGGTTTCTCAGCATCTTCGAAAGTATACAACGGTTTATAGTTCTTCATTTTTTTTATGTTGTCATGGTACATATACAACATATAGTGACATCATGGTTTTACAACATCATTATAAGTTAACAACGGTTTGTAGTTGTTAATTTTTTTTATATTATCATGATAAATATACAACGTATAGTGGTACATCATGATTTTACAACATCCATTGTAAGTTTACAACGCTTTGTAGTTGCTCATTTTATCATATACAGATTACAGATTATAACAATAATAATAATATATAATATTATAATAATATTATAACAACGTATAGAAATCAATTATTTTTTACAATATAATTGTAATCATACCACACCAAGTAGATGATTACTTTATTACGATATCGTTGTAACTTTACAACACTTTCTAGTTGTTCATTTTTTATAAAATGTCATTGTACATATATGTACAACGTAGGTATAGTAGTAAATTATTATTTTTCAATATCGTTCTAAGTTAACAACGCTTTATAGTATGGTATATCTTTGTTTTATAGTATAGCTGTAAGTATACCACTATAGTAGATCATTGTTTTACAACAGCATTGTAAGAATACAACACTTCGTAGTTGGGCCGTTTTTCATAATGTCAGGACACATATACATACAACGAATAGTAAATCATAATATCGGTATAATTATAAGAAAACTCATATAATGATAGACTTTTTTTATGATGATCAACTAGAAAAAAATGATCAAATAATAATCAATAAATGAATGAATGTCTAATGATAGTTAGACTTTTAGATGGAATATATTAATATATGTAGGTGTAGAAAAGTTTAATATATTTTGTGATCTTTATACTTTATTATTATTCTAAATTGCAATTATGAAGAAAGCAAATTTAGATTATTTAAAATTGATATATATTTTGAAAGAATTGTAAAAATACAATAAACATATGTTTTTTTAGGAGATGGTAGCTATAGTGTGAGACTTGAACCCACTTAATTCAACGAGATCTCAACAATCAGACTACAAAAGTCCTCTGGCTAAAAACGCTTAACACTAATCGAGGGGTGAAACAAAACAAGCTTAGTATTATCTTAGCTAAAAGTAAAAAGGTGATACATGTATGTTAGTTTTGGGCAATAATGGATATTAAAAAAGTTTTAAGACTCTTTATGTATACTCTACAAAGCGGGTTGATGTATCCGCAGAATAGCAATAACGGCATTTAGTGGCGCAAGTGATCTATTTTGGTAATATAGAGAGCAAAGGATTGGGGAAGTATCTAGAAAAAAGTTTTCAGAAGCTTACTGGGAAGTTAGTGGGAAATATCAAGAGAAAGATTATGACAATAAGTTAGATATCTGAATAACGAACTCGAACTCGAAAAGTAGTAATGGCCATTTGGCTTGAGCTTGTAGTTGACACAATCACAGATGACTTTACTCTCAATAAGCCGGAAGCAAAGTGAACACAGTCATGAAGGACTTTCCTCCCAATAAGCCGGGAGCGTTGCATTTGAGCTGAACTTATACCGGAACGGATCAAGGACGTCTAGGTATATAATTGATGAATAACGAAAAAAAATCTGTTTTTTTGCAATAGGTTGCAGGCATTGAAAGCCACAGTGTGAGACTTGAATCTCCTAAAATTACCTCTTAGGCATGAGTTGAAAAATTCTCAGCCATTACACTGTAGAATAGATTATGGGCATTCACTTCATCATTACTGCGACTTCTTAGGTTGTACAGTCGTACAACGGAATTCAGTGGAGGGGAGCGATCTATCACGTAGAAGTATGGATTGGAGCGATGGACTGGAGAGGCCTGTGGGAAAGAACTTAGAGAAGATCAGTAGGAAATTCTGCAGTGTGCAGAATATCGCAAGGCAAAACATATTTCAAGCAGCACGATAATATTAACTATTAACTAATTATTACTAATAACAGCTAATATTCATTAAAATGCAAATTTCATTTATTTACATTATTCATGTATATATTATTGTATATATTATTGTATATATTATTGTATATATTATTGCATAATATATAATATAAATGATGGAAAAATATTAAAAGAATTGTAGAAATAAATTTATAAGTAGCTTAAAGTGGATGTATAAATCTTTTAATTTCAAGAATATAAGACTAAGTATAAGACTAAGAAGCAAATACTATATATTGTAAAATATATGTAACTTGTAGTATTAAATGGATTTGCAAATCTTTTAAATTCAAATATGTATGAATACTAATAAATAATATAGTATGTCCTAAACAGATAATACATACTGGAAAGCAAATCTACGAGTGGTTAAAATAAATACATGGATCTGTAAATCTTTAAGGTTAAGAAAAAAGCACAAAGTTTAATATATATCATATATTCATTCTAATCGTACTGAACATAACATTTTTTTGTTTTCCTGAGTATTTATAGAACTCCAAATTTACCACTGTCCACTGTTAAGTCAATAAACATTCTCTTATTATTATTAATATTTAAATATATAATAACTGATTATTGGGTTAATATATTCCTTCCGAAATTGTATGGTATTTATCTTCTATTCACCTTCATACAATATTTAGTAAAGTGGCATTTATTATCTTTGCTTTTAAACTTGTTTTATGTTCTTAAGACTATAAATTGTCGTTGGAGACATTGACGTATTTTATGCCTTTTCTTTGCCTGCGTTGACGGATATACTAACTAGGATTAACTTTTTTTTCCCAAGTTTCATGACATTGAAGTAATGATTTAGTTACAAATTTACTAGAATCTAGCAGCTTTTTAGCTTAATGATATTTTTTGTACATTTATTTCAACTCTGATTATTATATATGAAATCAGTAATAAATTTTTGCTACTCTTAACTAGATAAATATGGAAAAGATAGGTGAATATAAAGAATCCAATTATTCAAATAAAAATACAAAATACAACTTAGTTTGTTGGGTGTAATTATTAATATTCATTGGATTGTAACATTTTTATTTCTTCATAAAACATTGGCATATATTTTAGTAAAATAATTAATAAATATTTTATATTAGTAAAAACTAGTAATATGTTATTGACTACTTTAGTGACTTTATGCTGGTTAAAGGTCCATCAGAAGAAATTTAGATTTCCGCTTTTATATACCTTACATACTCTAAAATTGAGGTCTGGGCTTAGCTTGATTTAACCAATCTCTTCAACATTTTCTATTGCAATCCAATGTTTTAACACTATAACTGGGGTATGTTCTTGGTTTGATTCAACCGATCTCTTCACAATGTCATCCATTTAGTGTTTAGATAATAAACCCAGAAATTACCCTATATATTACCCTATATAATTCAACATATATAGGGTAATTATTGTGTTTATTATATAAACACTAAATGGATGACATTGTGAAGAGATCGGTTGAATCAAACCAAGATCATACTCCAGTTATATTTATGTGCAAAATAAGGTATACGGGGAAGAATTTAGAGGCTTAAGTTCTTTACAGTGATATTATATAAAGATTTTTTTTTAAGTTTAATTTTTTTTATATAGAAAATGTATTAGTTTAATATAATAGAAATATTATTATATTAAATACAATGTATATAGATAATATTATTACATTATGTATACGAGATGTAATCAAAAAATAACGAAAATTTTTAATGTTTTCAAAAAGTATTTCTATTCGAAATGATTTCTTTTCGAAGGACATAAAACTTTTAATTAATAAGTATTTATTTAATTGTCAATGTTTAATCCAACCCTCTTTGATATTTTGCATTTGTGTCACAGTAGTTTCTATTTTCAGAAACACTATTAGAATGTCTTTTTAGAAAGGGTCTTAGCCTGTTCTCCGATTTCCATTTTATATCATATACTGAGTATTTGAGAATAAACTTGTTACTTTTTAATAACAGGAAACTGGACTCTTTTATAGGAAACTGGACTTTGATAGATGTAAAGTTTCTGAATAAAAAATGTTCGCAAGATAATAAAGTATTGATATACGAAAAATAAACCAATTAAAATATAATTAAAATTTGGACAAAAATGAGACAATGATGCAATGAGAATTGCATCAAAGATCAACATTTGACATCTGTAACTCTGAATACACTTAAGTATAAATTGGGTATTGGGTATCAAATTAAAGGATTTTTATTGAAATTGATGTAAGAGCTGGTTTAAAGATATTAATATTAATAGTTCTTTAATTAAATGCCTTTTTTATATAGACATTTTCTTAACACTTTGTATCTTGGTTAATGCTAACAATATAATTCAAGATATTACAATATTATATTATAAATTATATAGTATATAGAAAGCATACTAAGCTCAAGACATCACGGCATGTGCACTGTTCAACAAATTTAAATACTGCGACTTCGCTGACTACGACAAATTGTGAGTATTAAAGACATTGGTCTAGTTAGAAAGATTTTTGGAAGCAGCTAAAATAATAAGGTCTAGAGAAACACCGGTGGTGTGATAGGAGAACTTGACTTACGAAACTGGACAAGTCGCACACAGAGTATGTCCGCCTAATTAAGAGTATTACCTTAGAAACTATAAATAGGGTTGTTAAGGCACAGTAAATATAATAAAAAATATTATAAAAATATAAATATAATATAAAAAAAATAAAATATATAAAAATATATAAAAAAATATATAAAAATTCTATAAAAAATATAGAATATAGAATTATTTGTGGTTAACATAACTAAAAATTATATATAATATATATCATCAATTCTGTATATATATATACATCAATTCTGTGATAATAATGTGATAACAGTTGACGGCATTTACAAATTTAGGTCTGAAAGAGTATAAATATTTACTCAAAATAGTTGATTCTAATAAAATTCGAAGTGTCTTCTTCTTCTTCTTCTTCTTTTAAAATCTTCAGAACCGAATAATTGGAATCGCGCATAAATTTTATATTCAGATTTATTATTATATAGATTATTTATATTATATAGATTATATAGCTTAAAACTTATTTTAATTTAATTATAGACAAAAGTTTTAGAAAAACAAAACCATGCCTAAAATTAAAAACTTCATATGACTATATAAAATAAAGTTAAAAAAACTTTATAAATATAGGGTATTTAGTTAAATTTAAATTTTTCATTAAATCGACACAAAAATAGCACAACAAACGCTATTAGTGTAAATTAAATAATTATTTTAGTTAAAATTCAATTTGTTGTAATTTTCAACAAAATATAAATATATTTTAATAAACAATTTAAAAAAAATCAGTGAGAACAGATTATCAATTATTTATTTAATCTTAAAGCTAACTATAAAAATAAGTTGTTTGAATCTCTTATTCCAAAGATATGTAAATGGTATTTGGGTGTGGCTTTATCGATAATCAGTGAAATAATGGTAAACGTCCATTTAATTTCTTTTTCGGACCACGTTTAAATTTGAACTTTTAAAGCAGATTACGTGTTTGCTGGTTTTGTCTAATTAAAAAAGTCAAGAAAAATTCAGGAGCAATAGTAGAATTTGAATAAAAATGATTATGTTATTTAATGTTTTTTTCTATAAATATTTCTTCACATATAATTTTTCAAAAATTTTAAAATTCTTATTAAATTTAAACTTTTTGCAACACTTCACATAAATAAAAAAAACAAATTGATGTATTCCAGAATTAAAGAAAAATTATTAAATTTATTGCCTTGATAATTCAATAACTTGATTAAGATGTAATAATACAAGTCAAATAATTTTAAAATAATAAAAGTATTTCATATAAACAACAGCAAATTTCAAATCAAACAAATTATGTGTAATGGTTAATATAACGAAAATCCTGATCTACTAATAATATTACAATAATAACAAAAAAAATCTTGGCAACTCTACAAACATATATTGTCGTACAATAAATTAGTGCATTGCATTTCTATTCACCACTAGGTGGCAATGCAAACAATTTCTACTTTGAACCTTACACAAAATTTAAATTATTTTTTAAATGTTTTAAAACGGATTCTACTTTATTAATAATTTATAAACTTAATTATAATTACTTTATGCAATTTGTAGTAGTACACATATGTGTAGATTTATAAATAAATGCAATAAATAAGTAATGATCGTTTATATTATTTTGAATTATATTATATTTAAAACAAAACTTCAAATAACTGTAAGGAAAATAACTTATATATTTAAAACAATCAGTGAGAAGAATATTTATTTATACTCCAAAGAGTTATAAGAAAAATAACTTTTATATATAAAATAATTAAATGGGTTGACAACAAACAACAAAATAAATGTTATTAGTCTTAACAATATTAATGTAAAGTCATGTGTAAATATTGTCTTAATAAAAATTTAAGAGTCAGATATAATATTTTGAGTATAATTTATACATATTGAAATTAACACTGTATATAATCTTTATTTAATGAAGCTTTTCTTTGTCTGAAGTAATATTTTATGAATATACATGAAATATTCTGACAAGCTTCACATCTCTGTAAAATTTAATGCATATTTGTTTCTATCATTTATTGTTTTTATGAAATAACCGCACTACCGATTTACAGAGATATAAAATCTCTTCGGTTTTCAATAAAACAACCATCAGTAGTTTTTATAATGATTAAATTCAAAAATTGAAGCGTTTGAAAATAATAATAAAGATATGTAACTAAATCAACACTAAATTAAACAAATTAATATATTCTACTCTACTTTTAGTTTAACATGTTGTTTTAATTCTTTTAAAAATCTTCTGATTAAAACGTAAACATAACTTTTGGAAGAATAGATACATATAAATTGTACATAAAATTGTTTGTTCCACTCAAAATAATATTATTGAGTAGAATTAACGGTAGAACATA